TAAAACATGGTGCTCAAGTAAACAGACTGAGAATGGATGGGGGTCCAGCTTACATCCAGGACCTGGTCCAACCCGACATCCCGACCCGCACTCTCCCGCTCTGCATGTGATAAAACTGCTTGTTCCTCCTCACTGAGAGCAAAACACTCGACTAGATCTCCACTCTTTGCTGTCCTGCTCCTAAATGGTGGAAGGAGGTCTCTGAAGACATCAGGACCACAGAGAGCCTTCACATCTTCAGACTGAAGACACACCTCTTCACACTCTACCTCCACTAACACACTAACTGTAGCACTTACATTGGACTTATAATGGTTCTTATCTACAGCTACTGTAGCTACTTTCTTGTTTCTTGTTCTTCTGAGTTTGTGTCCTTATGGTTGAAATGTTCTTATTGTAAGTCGCTTTGGATAAAAGCGTCAGATAAATGACATGTGATGTAGTACAGTATGAAGTATTATATGTACCGCAGATATAAAACAGTAGAAAGTACTATATGAAATGTACTACAGTGAAAAGTACTATTAGTACCTCTAAAGATGTAGTACAGTAGGAACATGTACATGAGATGTATTAGGGGAGTAGAGGTGAAGTACTAGTACCTTGAACCTGAGATGTAGTACATGAGTATAAAGTAAAGTACCAGTACCTTGACTGAGCTGTATTACAGGAGGAGTGAAAATAATAGTAATTGGATGTACTAGTATCTTGGTTGTGAGATGTAGTACAGGAGTATTAAATGAAGTACTAATACCGGTGTTGTACTGCGATTCACAGAGCTGTCAGACAGGAAGTTGTGATGCGTTCAAGGTGTTTAATGACACATAAGTGAACCTCAGGTTCAACAATCAGCTGACTGCTGACATACAAAAGAAAACAACGGAAGCATTAACACAAACTATTTACATTCACAAACATGGCTCCTCCCCATAGCCGTGGCCCCTCCCCATGGCCGTGGCCCCTCCTTTAGGTTGCCAGCAGGTGAGTCATGGCTGAGGGCTTTTCAAAATAAAGTGTATACTGTGATCTTCATAACACTGGACTCCAAATCCCAACATCCTTTGCCATACAATCAGAAGTTTGATGTGGACCTTTCCCTGATACGCAGAGAGCAGCTAATCAATTCATCGATTACATTCTCCCTCTCCCTCCCTGTCTGTCTCTGACCCGTCTCCCTCTCCCTCCCTGTCTGTCTCTGACCCGTCTCCCTCTCCCTGTCTGTCTGTCTGTCTGTGACCCGTCTCCCTCTCCCTCCCTGTCTGTCTGTGACCCGTCTGCCTCTCCCTCCTTGTCTGTCTGTCTCTGACCCGTCTCCCTCTCCCTGTCTGTCTCTGAGCCGTCTCCCTCTCCCTCCCTGTCTGTCTCTGACCCTGTCTTCCTCTCCCTCCCTGTCTGTCTCTGACCCGTCTTCCTCTCCCTCCCTGTGTGTCTCTGACCCTGTCTTCCTCTCCCTCCCTGTCTGTCTCTGACCCGTCTTCCTCTCCCTCCCTGTGTGTCTCTGACCCTGTCTTCCTCTCCGTCTCTATAACTTAAGTTCGTTGGCGATCTTGGAGGCGATGTTCTTGAAGGCGACGGACGCTCCGGATACCCGTTTGAAGCGGACGCCGTTGAGCGAGAGGCGGGGAAGTTTGCAGACCTCCATCTCCCATTGGACGAGGCTGTCTAGGTGTCCGTCGCCATGGACACAGAGCAGCAGGAAGCGCTCACGCTGCTCGTAGTCGCAGTTATTGGCGTCGAGGATTTTCCTGATCTCCTTCATCATGTCATGAGCCTCCATGGAGGAAGTGGTCTTCATACTCCAGGTGAACCTCAGGGAGCGAGGTTTTGACTCCCGCAGCTGTGGAGCAGCAGGAGAACCAGGATCCTCCTTCTGATCACATGATATGTTCCGACTACACAAGGGAGGAGAAGTTTCCTTTTTAATTCCTACGGTTGTAATAAAACAAAGTAGGAAAAGCACGGAGGGGGATGAATACGTTTACAGGCCCTGTGTATATTTATCTGTATAAACATGTACACGCACACACACATATATACAGATACATGCATGCAGACATATACACACTTTCAGTGCCTTCCATAAATATTTCATCCCCTTGGACTTTTCTAAATTTCCTTCTGGTACAACCACAGATTCAGATCATTTCATTGGGATTTTATGAAATGGACAAATACAAAATGGTCTGGGGGAGTTTTCATGGATTCAAAAAAACATTTGAAAACTTATGCATCAACTGCTATGTTCTTATTATTGTCTGTGTTGAATAAAAGGGATTTTCCACCTCCAAGTACTATGCATCAAAAGTATATTTAAGTATTTGAATCGGACGCAGGCTCTGTATACACAGTACCGACACCGAGGGGCTCTGCGTGGTCCTACCTGCGCGTGAGCTTGAAGGTGAGTTTGGAGAAGAGGTTGGTCGACCCTCTGGCTCGTGATTGGGCGTCATGGGAAAGGCTGGGCGAGGCGGGGGGGCTGTTGTGGGCGGGGCTTCGTTTGTCCCTCAGCTGACCGGCGTGGAAGGTGCTGCGGCTCGCTGTCCCTCGAGGGAAACGCAGGCGGTCGGGTGGTGTTGCTCCACTGCTCACAATGTGGGCGGAGACTCCGCCCACTGACCTCTCAGGGGGGTTTGCAGCAGCGCTGAGGAGGGGAGGGTTCATTACTACATGTTACAGCTTTAGACCAGAGGGGCTCACCTGGTGGACTTATACCTGTTCTCTTTGCCGTTCTGCACCACTGAGGGTCGCTCTGCTGATTTACTCTCAGTACAAACATACGTGTTCCTCCTCGTCATGCTGGACGACGCGCTCTGAGACAAACGATAACCAATAATCAATAGTCCATACCCCTCTTAGATCAGCTTTCACGCTCTGAGCGATAATGAATAATCAATGTATTGCAGCGATCAGGTCCTCCACACTCAGACAAACACAATAATCAATCAGTCTGACCTTTGAACTTAAAGGTGGGGCGTGACTGACGTCGTCCCTATGCTCAGGGATGTTAGCCATGTTGGGGTTGTTGGCGTTGCCTAGCAGCGGAATTGCCTTCATCCAGAGGACTTGGACTTTCCTTTTGGGGACCACCCCGCTTCATGCTTCACCTCCTCCTCTGCAATTGCTTACATTGTGACTCCTCCTGGTGGGAGGATCCACCGAGGGGGCGGTGTACAGACTGAGAGGGGGAGACAGGAGTTACAGCCTGCAGCCTGTCCGTGAGCATCACATTGTGGCTCTGATTGTGGTTCTGCTGGTTACCTTGGTCGCTATGCCTCCTCTGTTTGGAGGAGGAGCGATGGTTGAGGAGGTGAGCAGGAGACTGAAAAGGTTTGCTGGATTCGCTCACCTCCGCCTGAACAACAAACACACAGTTACCATCACCGGCCGGCCTCTCGGTGTGCAACACCTGCAGTCACCATGGAAACCACCTCTGACCTCAGCAGCGTGGCGGCCCAGCAGTAGGTAGGCAGCTGTGATGTCATCATATTTCATCTTGGTGAGCGAATCATTAATGTCCTCCCTAGAGTAGCCCATCCCCACCATGAGGTCTGCAACACGAATACACGAGTACCTTCAGCTGTGCACTGGTACATTACATGCATACATCAGGAAACATGTATTGCCAAAATATGTCAAACATACAAGGAGTTTGTCTTGGCGGTTGGTGCGTGACAGTAGACAGTGTGACAATAGACAACAAGACAGCACAGGTAATAAAATACAATGGTTTGTTACATACATACATATATACATACATATATATATATATTAGGGCTGTCAGTAGATTAAAAAAAACTAAATTGCACATTTTCATTATTCGCAATTAATGAATGTTGTTGTTGTTTCTTCTAAAGACTAAATCTTACAAATAATGAGTAAGTGTGTATTGTAGACACTGTTGTTTAATTGTTTAACTCCACACATGGGATCATCTTTGAGGTGGAAGGTCCTCTGCACTTTACTCTCAGCAGAACGTTTCCAAACCCAGACACTCACTACGCAGTAGAAGTATCGATTCTAGAGTTTAAAAGACTTCTGTTGAAGTCTCAACTCAAGCTTTTTACTTAAGTAAAAGTATAAAAGTACCGGTTTCAGAACTACTTAAAGTATAAAAGTAGTAACGTGAGGGGAAAAAAATGGACCAACTCTGGTGTAACAGTTTATCAGATGACGTCACCTGCTGTTGGGATGGAAACATGACGATATTCAGAGAGGGACACATGTATCCACCCGCATGCTGCACAACTTAAACAGATCAAACCAGAGTCCATGAGTCGGAGGACGGACGCACACGTAGTTCCCATTGATTAGGTAGACTGCAGTGGCTCCCCTACATTTACAACTTCATGGGGGGGCTCTTGAACGTGTGATCTTTAACCAACTCTCCTCCTATCTCCACCGTAACAACCTCCTTGACCCCCACCAGTCAGGCTTCAAGGCTCCACAGAGACTGCTCTCCTCGCTGTCTCAGGGCAACTCCACACTGCTAGAGCTCCTCTCTGTCCTCTGTCCTCGTCCTTCTGGATCTCATCTCCCTCCTGGACTACTGTGACTCTCTCCTGCAGGTCTCCTGCTACCACCATTCCACCTCTGCAGCTCATCCAGAATGCAGCAGCTCCACTGGTCTTTAACCTTCCTAAGTTCTCCCTCACTCCTCCACTCCTCCACTCCTCCGCTCTCTTCACTGGTACCGGTGGCTCATCCAGTTCTAAACACTGGTGCTCACGTACCATGCTGTGAATGGATGGGGTCCAGCTTACATCCAGGACCTGGTCCAACCCGACATCCCGACCTCTGACCTCTCCGCTCTGCATGTGATAAACTGCTTGTTCCTCCTCACTGAGAGAAAAACACTGGACTAGATCTCCACTCTTTGCTGTCCTGCTC